AAATCTTCATTTTCTTTATCTTTCGCTTTGGTGGTTGGTGTGTAAATTTGAATAACGTTAACTTGTCTTCCTTGAAGGTGTATGGATATCGTCCTATCACTGACAACATTGTAATTCAAGACAGATCTTGAAATGTTCTTTTCAGCAATGACTGCGACACCATTCTTCTTCGTTTGTCATTCCTGGCATGGTAGACAATATGATTGTCTGATTCAAAGTAGACAATTTAATTAATTAATTAAAAATGGCTGTTTTAGCCCACTAATGCCTAGGATATCCATCTTTATGCATTCCATTTCATTTTTTACAGTGTCCAGTTTTCCTAGTTTCATACTTCATACACTCCACATTCTGATTATTAATGGATGTTTGCAGCTGTTTCTGTCTTGAGTTGTGCCCCACCAGCAAATGAAGGTCCTGAAAGCTTTACTCCATCCATGTCGTTAAGGTCAACTTTACTTTGAGGAGGCAGTTCTTGCCTAGTTGTATTTTGAGTGCCTTTCAACCTGAGGGGCTCATCTGGGCACTGTATCGGACAGTGTTTCCCTACTGTTCATAAAGTTTTCCAGAAACATATCAGACTATGTTTCACTGCTCCTCATAAGGTTTTCAGTGGACAATTTTTTGCAGAACTAGATGGCCCCATCTGTCTTAGTCTGGAAGCTCTGCTGAAACCTGCCCAGGCGACTGTGTTGGTATTTGAAAATACCAGTGGCATAGCTTCCAGCATCACAGAAACATGAAAGCCACCACAGCAGGACAAACTTACGACTGGTGGCTGTAAAAATTATAGCCTTGGAAACCCTGTGAGGGCAGTTCTTCTCTGTCTTACAAATTGCTGTGAGTCAGACTTGATACACAGCAGTGTTTTTTTTTTTTTTTTTTGGTATGATTGTAGATGATGGCGACAGATACCCCATACAACTTACTTCACAGCATAACTTTAGGGGAATGGTGCCCCCTAGAGTCATATGATGCACTGTCTACACAACTGAATGAAGTGGGTATGAACGGAGGTGAGGATTGTGAGTTGAGGTACATTTTCTCTCTTAAGCAGATTCAGCAAGAGCTGCTTTTCTGTCTCCTGAATAGTTCTTGATTGCTCCCTTATCCCTATCCATTACTACTACCTTCTTTCAGATCTTTGTTTACTTTGTTCATTCAAATCAGCATTGATTGGCTTCCTTCCTTCCCAGGATAAAGAATAGGATGAGGACCCAGCTCTCTATAAACTCATGGTCTGGTGCTAGAGACCACTGTGCAGACATAATTACTGCTCATTGTAATTGTTTCCCCAGTCCCATCCCTCTTCCTTTCCTGCTGCCAGAATTATCTTTAAAACAAAGCTGTAAGCATGCAGTATTCTCATAAAACTTTTCAGTATTTCCTAGTGCCTTGTGAAAAAGTCCAGAACTCATTAAAATGATATACACAGTGTTAGCACAAACCTACCTTTAAGGAGTTGTATATACATATAGACCTTGGAGATATTGTAGGTTTGGTTCCAGACCCCCTCAATAAAGTGAATATCATGATAAACCTAGTCACAGGAATTTTTTAGTTTTCCAGTGCATATGCAAGTTATGTTCATACGATACTGTGGTCTCTTAAGTACACAATAGCATTATGAAAAACTTTATAATATTGTGAGAATTACCACGTGACCCAGAGACACAAAGTGAGCGCGTGCTATTGGAAAAGTGGTGCCGATAGACCTGGTTGATGCAGGGTAGCCACAAAGCTTCACTATGTAAAAAATGCAGTATCTGCAGAGTGCAGTAAAGTGAAGAGCAATAAAATGAGGTATGCCGTTACTTTTTTCTCCCCTTCTTGACATAACACGATGTGCCTCTGCCACACACACTGGGCTATTTGCCATTTTAGCTTTCTGCCTGCATGTGAGGGATCTACTCTGGCTTCATTGGAGAGTCTCCATAGAAAAGTATATAAACAGTTTGAAGTTTTTGTGATCAGGAAAATGGAATTTGAAACAATATGTGGTTTTGTAACCTCTAAAAAGGCATTTTGGAAGCTATTGAATGAGGAATAGTGATGTGAGGAAAAGTAGAACGTTGATCTGGAGGAAGCATGCAACATTAAAATGTTTGAAGTTAAGTAAACTCTTGCTGTAACCCAGACATGAGGAAAAGGACTAGACTAGGAATGAAAAACATTTTTGACAGAGTTGGTTTTCAATTGCATGGGAAGAATAAAGGAGACAGCTGTAAATGACTTCTTGATTTTTAACCTCAGTGATTGAGAACTATGAAACCACTGACAGAATGAAGTCAGAAACAGCTGTTTGTACAGAATGTGGAGTTAATTCCTTTTTTAATATATTGGATTTGAAGTAATTTGGAACATAACCAAATGGAAATTCTCACTATATAGTTGGAAATATGTTGTTGTTATATGCTGTGGAGTCGGACCCGACTCATAGCTACCCCTCCCTGGGTTTCTGAGGCGGTATCACTACGGAAATAGATTGCCCAACCTTCCTTCCGAGGAGTGGCTGGTGGGTTTGAACCACCAGCCTTCTGGTTAGCAGTCAAGTGCCTTAGGCACTATGCTACCACAGCTCCTAGTTGGGAATGTAGCAATAGGAAAATTGAGGTTAAGGAAGAAAGAAATGTATTTTGAATCATTTACCTGCTTAGAAGTCAGCCCACAAAAATGAATTCACTCTTTTATTCAATAAAACATAAGCAGCATTTTGTTTTGGGGACTGGGTTACAAAGATGAAAAGACTTGGCCTATCTCTGCTTTCATTCTAGTAGAAGAATAGAGTAGTATGTTCAGGATACCGTGAGAAGAAACAGGAAAAGATCCATCTAGAAAGTTAAAATTTTACAAAAGAAAAGAATGCTTTAAGAATTTATGTGGGCTTTGTTTGAGTGGAGAGTGTGTAGAGGAACTCTTGGAGCTTATCTGGCTTGGAGAGAAAGGTAGAAGAAAAGGGAAACCATGGGGAGAATTAAAGATCAATTTGAAGATGAAGAGTGGGGATTGCAGTCCCTCAGAACGCTAAGTTGCGATCAGTGGTTTCAAATGTTTTGAGGAGGTTAACATATAACAACAACAACAACAACAAGCTGTAAGGCAACAAAGCCTCTTTCAAATAGATTTGGTAGATTTCTCAAAACTAGTAGTGAAATAAATGGGAGGTGATGTGGGAGGAATCCATCAATTTATAATGATCAATATTTTAAAAAGTTAATACTTACTTGAATTTGGGATAGGGTCAAGGATAATACTTACCCTTAAATATTTGTAGTATTATTTATTTATTTATTTATTTATTCTGGAAAAGGATCAAACTTTAAACAAAGTAGCAAAACCATTCTGACTCAAATCACAAAAGGACACATATTGTATCAGTCCGTTATTGTAAAAGTCCAGGAAAGGTTTATCTATGGAAGGAAATTTTCTTTGTTGGTTACCAGGGGTGAGAGGGAGGAGAGGAGGGAACACTGTAAGATAGATAGAGATAAGTATTGATTTGGGTGAAGAGAAGGGCAGTGAACCAAATGTGAGTGATCAATATGGTGACGTTGAGGAAGAGAAAGACATAGAGAGGTACATGGGAGGTACAGACAACAAAGATGAACCCTTTTGCACATACAGTGCTGCGTTGTCAGTGAAGGCGAACTTGGGTATACGGGTGGATAGATGGGTAGAAAGGCTGAACTATTAAGTATGTCTATGAAGTGGGGAGTATACCCAAGAACATGTATAGGGTTGGCAGACAATGGTCCTATAAGTTTATGTGAATGATCAGAATTCCCAGCTATATAATGGAGCTGACAAGGGGCAAGGTTGTAGTCACTGCTTGGTCACAGCCAGCTACCCAGAGGGACCGAGTAGTTGAACCTGTGGGCTCCAGACCATAGTCTCAGGGGACATCAAACTCAATTGGCATAACACACTACACAAAACATTGTTCCACCTCCTACTTTGGCAAGTAGCAACTGGGATCTTAAAAGCTTGCAGGCTGCCATCTAGATGCAACAATGGGTCTCTCCTCGTCCAGAGCAAAGAAGAATAAAGAAAACCAAAAATTCATGGAAATCATTAGTCCTAGCGATTGGTACACCATCCGATCTGCAGCCTGTACGACTATGAGACCAGAAGAACTAGATGGTGCCCAGCTACCACTGTCAACCACTTGGAAGGGGATCTATGTAGGAGATCCTGGATAGAGGAGGAGAACAATGTGGAACAAAACTCAAAATCATTTGAAGGAAAAAAAGGGTGGGGGGGACCAGGTTTGCTGGTCTGATAGAGCCTGGTGGAACCCCTGAGACTATGGCCCCTAGCTGCCCTTCAGGTCTGTAATTGGACCCACATCTGTGGCTTCCAGCCAAACAAAAAACAGGCATATGAGTTAAACATTTACCTGAGGTAGATACACTCCTTGGAGAGAAAAATCATGGGAGAAAGAAGGGCTGGTTATGCACAGGGAGACAGCTCAGGGGGCAGGAGTTCCTGAGGGGATGGACACAGGGAAGAGGTAACTATAGGAGGAAGTGAGAGGGGAGCTGTTGCATTGTGGTAAATTGTGGTCACTGTCATGAGACAAAGTGTATGTGAACTGCTGTATGGAAAGTGAATTTGCTCTGTAAATTTTCACCCAAATCACAATTGAAAAAAAAAAAAAATCTCACTACTTTAAAAACAAAAAAACCATTCTGACTCAAACTGACAACTGAGTGTTCTTCAGTTTATTTCAGGACTGGTCTGATGCTTTCTTTGTGGAGGGTAGATACAAATTATTTTATTGATGGATACAAAGTAACAGCTTGAACCCTCTACTTGTTGTAGTTTATAGCTCACCTTCAGAAGGCAAAATGAGATGGTCTGTCTTTTGACAACTTCTAGGACTAAGAGTCCTGACTCTTTTGGGGCTGCAGAGTGAGAAGAAACTAAAGACCAAGTGGGGAGGCTCATATAAATTGATACAGGACACAGCTCTACTTCTTATCTGTTATTTTTCCCCCTAGGTTTAACCTTTTCATTCAGCAAAAATGTGGATTCAGGAGAGCACCCAGGAAGGTTGAACCTCGAAAATCAGACACAGGAACAAGTGGTGAAGCATACAAGAGAAGTTCTTTGATTCCTCCTGTAGAAGAAACAGTCTTTTACCCTTCTCCCTATCCTATAAGGACTCTTGTAAAGCCTTTATTTTTTACTATTGGGGTAAGAGCTCACATCACTAAGCATTACCTACCTTGCTACAGGTCCAGCGTTAAACTACTGTGTGTTCTAATAAACTCACTGCTGTGGAGTCGGATTTGACTCATGGTGACCCTACTTGGGTGTCTGAGGGGGTATCTCTATGGAAGTAGGTTGCCCAACCTTCCTTCTGAAGAGAGGCTGATGGGTTTGAACTGCCAGCTTTCTGGTTATCAGTCAAGTGCTTTAGGCACAATGCCACTAGAGCTCCCTTTGTTCTAATAGAGCTCCCTTTAAGTAAGGACAGGTGGGATCAAAAAGGTCTTAGTAACTGGGGTCATGAGTTCTGATTACAGGAGAACTTGAATTTAATAATGGCTATTAGAATCAGGCTCAGTTATGTAAGCCCTAAAAAAAAAAAAAGTTCCTTATTTGGTATAACATTCAAAGTAATACTAAGTTGTCATTTTGAATTTTATTTGAAAATCCCTAGCTTTAAACAGGCCCAAAAGGTATTGTAGAGTTAATAAAATGGGAAACAATTAAATGTTTTTCCTCTCATAGGTTATTAAACATGTGCCAAATATACGTCTAACACCATGCTAAGTGTTTCGTCTGTTGCTTTTCAAAAGTCATGAAAATGAAATACTCTCCTTGGACATACGTATTGGTCTACATTCTCTTTGAATTTATTTTGTAATACATCTAATTTTATATAGTTTACAGGCTGTGCATTTGGATCAGCTGCTATTTGGCAATATGAATCACTGAAATCCAGGGTCCAGAGCTATTTTGATGGTTTAAAAACTGATTGGTTGGATAGCATAAGACCACAAAAGGAAGGGGACTTCAGAAAGGAGGTAATGTAAATATTCCTTTCTTCTAGTTGATGATCACAGGTTTTTGAAGTATGATTTTTTAAGTGTTTTTTTCTTTTTTTTAAAATGTTTTGTGATTTGAATGAAGGTGAACTATTTTTAGTTAATAGCAACATTAGATGCTAATATTTACATCAGTACATGTGAAGTCAGGCACTTATTACTGTTCTTTAGAATTATTTGATCACTGAAAAATAAAAGCTTAGTGCCATCGAGTCAATTTTAACTCAGCAACCCCCATGAGTTTCCAAAGCAGTAATCTTTACAATAGATTGCCCTGTCTTCCTTCAGCAGAACGACTCGTGGGTTTGAACCCCACCAGCCTTTTGGTTAGCAGTCAAATGCCTTAGGCACTGCTCCACCAGAGTGCCTTATTTGATCACAGTAAATGTTTATTGATATTTGGTATGTTTGGTAGTATTGGACTTGGTAGTGGTACTTGACCAAAAATCACTAGGGATAGTTATTAAAAATTAGTATTCTGGGACCCCATCCCAGTCCTACTAAAGCTCATGGGGCCATTGTTTTACTTACATCTTTTAGCTGAATTATTTTAGAGTACATATTGAAAACCATAAAGAAATTTTCCAGAAAGTATCTTGTCTAGGGGTGGCATTACAAACTGGACTTTAAAGAGGTTCTCAGTGACATGATGTTTATGTATCCAGGTACCACTATTTGAGTGTTTTTAACTGTGCTCCAGTAATGGGGATGCAAGAAAAAAGTAGAATACAGTTAGAGCTTTTCATTTACTTTGTATGCAAGTTGATGTCCATCTTTCTTCTGAGCTGATTTTTTAAAATATTACCTTTCAGATAAAATTATGTAAATGTTTTATTCACTTCACTTGCCAATACGTACTGAGCATTGAGACTGTAAGATAATATTTAGATCCAGGTCCAATTATTATTCAGGTACCTTTGTTTTTAAAACAATTTTTCAAAAATAGAGTTTTATTAGAGCAGTTTTAGGTTTATAGAAAAATTGTGCATAAAATACTAGAGTTCCATATATTCTTTCTTCCTCCTGCCAGCTGTTTCTCCTATTATTAACATCTTTCATTTGTGTGGTAAATTTGTTAACAATTGATGAACAAATATTGATACATTAACTACAGCCCAAAGTTTACATTAGAGTTCATTCTTTGTGTTGTACAGTTCTATAGGTTTTGCCAAATGCATAAAGTCGTGTGTCCACCATCACAGAATCATATGGAATAGATCACTGCTCTAAAAGTGCTCTGTGCTGCACCTTTTCATCCTTTCTTCCCTCTCCCTGAATCCCTGGTAACCACTGAGCTTTTCATTGTTAATATAGTTTTACCTTTTCCAGAATGTCATTATGAAATCTTACAGTATGCAGCTTTTTTGGGACCTCTGGTGGCGTAGTGCTTAAGGGATTTGACTGCTAACCAGAAGGCTGGTGGTTCAAACCCACTAGCCACTCCTCAGAAGGAAGGTTGGGCAATCTACTTTTGTAGTGATACCTCCTGGGAAACCCAAGGTGGGGTTGCTATGAGTCAGGGCCAACTTGATGGCAGTGAGTGAGTTTTGAGTAGCTTTTTCAGACTGACTTCTTCCAGCAATATATATTCTTTAGCAATGTGTATTTAAGGTTCCTCCATGTCTTTTTGTATCTTGATAGCTCATTTCTTTTAATTTTTATAGTGATTTGGGTGAAAATTTACAGAGCAAATTCATTTTCCATATAGCAGTTAATATACATTTTGTCTCATGACATTGGATAGCTCATTTCTTTTTATTGCTGAATAATATTCCAGTGTGTAAATGTACCACAGGTTCTCTCTTTGTGTTTTATAGCACACTGTCTCTCCAATTTGTCGAGACAGTTGATATCTCAAGTTTTCCCCTTCTTAGGAATTTAATCCTGGCCACAGAAAGCTTGAGAAAGAAGCCTTGTGTTTTCTTCTACCTAGTGATAGTTTGAGGTTACTCTTATTGGAAAGAAGGAGTTTTCCTTCTTGTTTCCCATAGACACATACAGGAAATATGAGCTGTATCTGTTCTAGAGAGGCTTTGCTAAAAAGGCAATGAGGCCCCATCTTCTGACCACCTCTAATTGCACAACAGGAGAACAAAATCACTATCAGTAGCCCAAGGCTCATTACTGTGAGGCCAGACATGCTACCTCCCTCCAGCTGTTTTACCAACCCTGACACCAACTGTTCCTCCCGCAGCACCCACCACCTTTCTGCTGGGTTCGATAATTCGATAATTAGCCACACAGAACTCACAGATTATGGGGTTTATTAGGGAAGCACCAGGCTACAATTCAAGTTCAGGAAAAACGCTCAGTCTCTCTCAGCCCACCATCTCTCAGACAACAGTTTCTCACAGTCTCTCTCCCAGCAGTGTCCCTTGGTGTCTTACTCAGCAGGGTATGTCTCTTGTGTCTCTTTCCCAGCAGCACATGTCTCTCAGGAACACGTGTCTCTTTCTGTAGCACTTCTTTCTCAGCCAGCAGTCAGAGAGACTTCTTCTGCCTCTAGGAAGCCTCCTTTTGAGCCTGGCAGAGTCGCCAAACTAACCAATCATAACATCTAAGCACCTTGAGAGAGCTAACTTCCCAGAACATTACTTTGTGCTACTCCCAACAGAAATACCCCAGGTGAATGATTTTAGCAATAAGGAGCTACTCAGTTTCTCACAGCAAATTCCACCATGGAGTTTACAAAGACTTATGGCTAGAAAAGCCATACCAGGTAATTTACTACAGTGCAGGCTTTATGCCAGAAGAATAACGGTGATAGCATTTGCAGGTGAAAACATAACTGGCAGTAGATTTTCTTTCAGGACAGATAATAGAGCTGGGAAGATAATAGAGCTGGCCTATTCCATAATCCTAGATCCCTTAGAAAACTACGAGTTTTTATTACACATTTGTGCACTATGAGGCAACAGCTCTTTGCAGGATTCTTTGCAAATCCTACAATTCATAGATCCCCACACTCTTTGTCCTGGTACAAGGATACCCAGTGGTTCTTGAAAATGATGAAAAATCACATAAGCAATTGCATAATTCTCATCCAAAAATGGATTTGTATAGAATAAACAAATGATAGGTTGTAAAATAAAAAATTCATACCTATTAAGGAAAATCAAACAACATATAAATATAACATGGAAAGTGGAAATCCTGGGAACCTCTGCCACACTACTACATATATGATGAATTAAGGTCTAGGAGCTCATACACATACTATTTAATTATAATTACAAAAATAGAATCACATACAACATGCAACATTGTTGTTATTACTTTGGATTTTCTCCCACATCTGTGTGCAAAATCTGGTTCAATTTCATAGAACTTTTTAAATTTAACACCTTAATCATGGAAAATTTTAAACAGATACAATAGTAGAGAGAACAGTATAATGAACTCCCTGGACACATGGCTAATTTTGTTTTCTATACCTCTCCAGCTCTTCCTCCCCACCACTGGATAATTGTAAAACAAATCCTAGGCATATTTCATCCATAAAGATTTCAATATGTATCCCTGAAAGATTAGGATTCTTCTCTCTTCCTTTAAATGTTTTTTTCCCTAAACATCAATACTATCATAATGCCTTAAAAAAAAAAAAAAAAAAGTTTTAGTAGAAAATATTGTCAGGATTTTAAAACCGGCGTGAGTTCCTGCACCTTTTTGATGTTGGGATGTGGGCTGTAGGGTCATCATCCATGCTGCAATGGTATCACTGGGCCTATTGGACTCAGGGCAGCCACAGCTGGTGAGGTAGCAGCCTGGTAAGGAACCAGCTGGCTGCCCTTTCCAATAGCCGTGGCAGAGGAGAAAAATGATGGAGGCCTTGGTGACCAGGGCAGGCTTGGGCACCATGGTAGTCAGGCACCAGTTTTTCTTTTGCAAGGGTAAGGTTAGCCCCAAACTGTTGGAATGCATTTGTCCCAGTTGTGAATCAGGCTTTATTGAAGAAGTGATAGATGACTCTAGTGTTTTAGGTGATGGTGGCAGCTGCATAGATAATAGCACCAATACATTTTGTACAGTTCTGGAACCATTTGGACCACATGGTATTTTTCTAAGACTTTAGACCATTTCTAAGTAGCAATCTAGTGAGTGGACCAGGATAATCAAGCCAATGAGAGGCTTCATCAAACTTACACTGACTTCTGGGGACCTAGTCCTCTACAGGGAGCTCTGGTGGCTTAGTACCTAAGGCATGTGACTCCTAAACAGAAGGCTGGTGTTTCAAATCCACCAGCCACTCCTCGGAAGGAAGGTTGGGCAATCTACTTCTGTAGTGATACTGCCTCAGAAACCCAAGGAAGGATTGCTATGAGTCAGATCCGACTCCTTGGCAGTGAGTTTGGTTTTTTGGTTTTAGTCCTCTACAACTGTCAGTGACTTAGAAGTACAGATCCCAAGAAAGTGCTCATCCTAAAAGATCCCCACCTATTGAAGGAATAGTACAACAGCTCTTTGCAGGATTCTTTGCAAATTTTGCAATTCATAGATACCTACACTCTTTGTCCTGGTACAGCATACACACTCCAACCCTGAGGGCTATGCTTGGGGTTGGATGGAGTGTAATGCCATTGTAACCCAGCTTTAAGGACAACTGGAGAATACAGGTTCCTCCCCAGCTAGTAAAGAAAAGATCACATTTCTTCCAACAGTGACAGTAACTTACAGACAAGTTGATATGGGTTTAGACTGTCCAGTATCCAAAGAAGATTACACAGTGGAAGAAAAAGTCTGGCAAATAGCCTGCAACCACTTCTTTTATAGCAGTTGTGTTGTGCCTCAATTAGAACCACATGACATGTGTCCTGTTTGTAGGAAGAGCTTAAATGGTGAGGACTCTACTCAGTCAACCCAGACTCTGAGGCCTCTGCAAGCAACAAATTAGCAGTGACAACCAGTTACGTGACCGGTGAACTTTCTGAAGCTAAGGCTACCCCTGAGCCAGGACTGTAAATTGGAAAACCACAGCTGTAAATTGTATCTAAACTGAAAAATAATAGGTGGATTTAGGAATCTCTTAAGAAACTCCAACCCATAATACTAATACAATGAGTGTTTTCCTTTCCAAATTTAGTTGTAGCTACAATTCCATTTGTTAGATTTTAACTACAAATGGAATTATATCTACAACTAAATACCTTTTATTCCTGAATTCAGAGTGATAATTTTTGTAAGTGTGAAACAGTCATGTGAGTCCCCTCCAGGGTAGAATCAGTTCTTTGAAGTCTTGTTAGGGCCCTGATATCAGTCATGCTGCCTTGTAATGGAGGTTTCAATCTCCTCTAATCTGCAACCTACCATTAGTGTATTTTACAGTAAACACAATATTAACAGAACCCTAAAGTCCTGCTGACATAAAGTCCTTTTTTCTTAATTGTACAAAAGCAACACCTCTTGGTCACATTAGCCTTAAAATGAGGTGATATTAATTCCAGAATCTGAGACTTACAATTTTGTTTTGTCTCGATCCTCAAAGAGCAAATCAGAGAAAAAGTGAGAAGGAGAAAGTGGCAAAACAAAACAAACCACACCACCAGGTAAACCAGGTGAACTTGGTGCCAGTATATATCTGGTATTATTGCTATTCCTTTTGACAACATTGCTACCAAAAAACTACCAAAAAACTCACTGCCATCAAGTTGATTCCAGCTCATCATGACGCTGTAGGACAGAGTAGAACTGCCCCATAGGGTTTCTGAGACTGTAAATCTTTCTGGAAGCAGACAGCTACATCCTTCTCCTGTGGAGTGGCTGATTCAAACTGTCAACCTCTTGGTTCGTAGCCAAGTGCTTACCACTGTGCCACCAGGGCTCCTGCCTTATCTTTCATTAGGTATCTATTATTGTCTCCGTTTTGACGGATCAGGAGACTGAAGTTCAGAAACAACTTGTCCAAGGTCCTAGAGCTAATCAGCGACTCTGTGGGGAACTCAAGTCTGTGTGACTATATAGCATTTTCCTCTGTCCCATACGTTTATTAAGTCTGTTGTTGACCAGTGATTTTATAGATGAGGAATCCCTCTTTTATACACAAGCTATTTTCATTTTTCTACCCTGAAAGTACTTCACATAGTGTGATATGCAATTTTCCTTTTGTTTTAGATTAACAAGTGGTGGAATAACCTAAGTGATGGCCAGCGGACTGTGACAGGTTTGTGTTAGCTTACACGTTTTAGCCATTCAAGGGAAGAGAAATCAGACCAAAAGGTACAGTATGTCATAGGCAATGGCTTTTGTACTGTGCTCACCAGTGATGTAGAAGACACAGTTTCTGTGCCTACAGGCTAATAGAATACTATAAGAAGTGGTGTGCTGTAAGGGCTACGTGATGCTCTTTGTTGGTTATTTTCTAATTTTTATTTAGTATGTTGCTGAGCAAGGGGTCTATGCTTTAGGATCTCAGCTTGTGAAATAGGTTAGTAGTAATTATTACTTCTCTTATTAAAGAAACTAAAGGGAACATTGATTTAAGTACCTTCTGTATAATCGAAGAAAAAATGAACCCGCTGCCTGCCATCATATTGAGTCCAACTCATAGCAACCCTATAGGATCGAGTAGAACTGCTTGTAGGGTTTCCAAGGCTGTAATCTTCACTGAAGCAGATTGCCTCATCTTCTGTGGAGCTGCTGGTAGGTTCAAACTGCCGACCTTTTGGTTGACAGAGGAGCACTTAACCACTGTGCCACCAGGACTCCTACTTTCTAGATAACTGGGTGCTTTATACACATTCCTTCCCTCTTTTGTAGGATTGCTCGTAAGGTAGTTACCTCTCTTTGTACAAATAAGGAAACTGACTTTCAGAGAAGGAACTTGTCCAGGGTCACACATGTAGTAAGTAATAGAGTTGAGTTTCAGAACTCAGGTCTGTCTCATTCTAAAGCCCACACGCTTTATACTACACTGGGCTGTTTATAAAACCCTCTTTAAAAAATGTAAACATTCCATGCGTATCACCATGATGATTTTATTTTTCTAAAAAGTGCTATTTAGCAACTGTACACATTGTTGTTGTTATGTGCTGTCGAGTCAGATACAACTCATAGTGACCCCTCCTTGGGTTTCCGAAGCAGTATCTCTACAGAAGTAGATTGCCCAACCTTCCTTCCGAGGAGTGGCTGGTGGGTTTGAACAGCCAGCCTTCTGGTTAGCAGTCAAGTGCCTAAGGCACTATTCTACCAGAGTACACATAGGGAAAAAAAATCTTACCAGAGAATAGCAAACATTCCCTCCTCCCCCAAAATATGATTAGGTTTAACGGTACCTACTTTTGATTTTCTGTAGCCCCCTAGTGGAGGAAAGTAGAGAAAGGGTGCTTTTCATTAATTTTTATTTTATTGTGGTAAAATATATATAATATAAAATTTGCCATTTTAACCATTTTTAAGTGTACAATTGAGTGCCATTGGTTACATTCACAATGTTGTACAACCACTGCTACCGTCTATTTCCAAAACTTTTTCTTTACTCCAAACAGAAACTGTGTACCCATTAAACATTAATGCATCTCTTCTTCCTGTATCCTCTACTTTCTGTCTCTGAATTTGCCTATTGGAGGTATTTCATGTACGTGGAATCATACAGTAATTTACTTTTTGTTTGTGGCTTATTTCACTTAGCATGTTTTCAACATTCATCTGTGTTGTGGTATGCATCAAGACTTCCTTCTACTTCTGGCTTAGTACTGTTCCATTGTATGTATGCAGCACATTTTTTTTTTTTAGGATTTGGGTGAAGATTTACGGAGTAAATTCACTTTTCATACAGCAGTTCACATATACTTTGTCTCATGTCATTGACCAAAATTTACAATGCAGCAGCTCCCCTCCC